AGATGACCCTGAGAGTGCCTTCCAACTCTACAATTCCATGATTCTATGAAATGCAAAGTGAACAAAATTTATCCCTATCCCTATCTGGCAGGAGGAAAGACAGCAAAACAAAAATGTTATGTTGTTTATTCAGATAAGCCAAACTATCCCAGGCTTTATTTTCTCACCTCGGGGTAACCTGGCTGTCCGTAATATCATGCCCATGTGATTTTACCACACACCAGGTGCAGAAGGTGTGATAAAATGGTTTGCCTCTCTGGCAGCTCTTAATTTTACAGTCCACTCTCATTTTCAACCCAAACGCTTCCATCGCCACTAGCCACAGTGTTGATGGCAGAGATTGTGTCTGCAAGTCAAGAAAAATGGATGGGTCCCAAGTGACACCCTCTGCTTCTCCTCTTAACTAATGAGCTGCGATTGAGTCCCCAAACAATTTGTTCCGACAGGTCTTTTGCTCCTGACCAGTGTCTATAATAGATGTATGCGACATTGGCTTGAGCAGAGCAGGGAGAAGATATTATTCACATCCCTCATTTCCTCATGAAAAGGGTGCTGGGCAAATCGTACATGATGTTTTGTCAGGGATCTGGATTGGAGGAGCCGCCATGAATCAGGCCTCTGACCTGGCGATCGTAGTGTATGCTTGTAGACATCTGCCAAGCTGTCACCAGCATCACACTGTCTCCTGGCCCTGATTTCAGTAGAAAGACATATGCAGATGGCTCTGTCATGTCACCATGGCTACTGAAGTGTAGGTGGGTTCAGGCATAACCTAAAGACCAGATTTCAGCTCAAAGGGATTTATTGTAGCAACAGGAACAAGACTGACAGGGCCCAGTATATATATCTTAAGACGGCTCAGGCGAAACACAAACTCCACCTGTGATAGGTTGCCTTAATGCTGCAATTAGGGAATCACAACACTGGCCTATCTCAGCAGGGATTGCTTGCCTGCCAGCTATTAACAATGTTATTGGAGGGTTTTAGACTCCTCTCTGTCTTTTGTTATGCAGATGGTTCCTGAGCTCCTAGGCCTGTATTGCATGGATACAGCCTAGCTTTGGTCTACAGTGCCTGGATACATAACAGCTTCTTAACTGCCCACCTTCCCTGTAGGCCCCAGTAAACAAAATATGATTCCTCACTCAGTTTTCATTATGCAATCATTTAATATGTAGAGTTGGAAAAGGTTCAGAAAAGGGCGAGCAAAATGATCAAGGAGATGGAGTGCCTCTCTGATGAGGAAAAGTTGCAGCGCTGGGGACTTTTTAGAGGAAAGACGTTAGAGGTGGCATGATAGAACTTTATAAAATTATGCATGGCATGGAGAAAGTGCAGAGATAAAATTCTTCCTCTGGAAACTGGAAGATTCAGGACAGATAACAGGAAGAAATTCTACATGCAATGGAACACTCCCACAGGAGGCAGTGATGGCCACGAACTTGGATAGCTCTAGACAAATCCATGGAGAATAATTTTATCAGTCTTTATTAGCCAGAATGACTTGTACCTCCACTGTTGGAGGCAGCATGTCTCTGAATGCTGAGTGCTGGGAGTCACAAGGGGGAAGAATGCTGTTGTGTTCAGGTCCTGCATGCAGGCTACTCACGGGTCTCTGATATTGCTGACACACACAATGTCCCTTTATGGATATGCCACCACGATGCATGAAAATAAAAAGAGCCAGAGGCCCAGCTATCCCAGCATCTTGTTCTCACAATGGCCAACCTCTGGGAAACCTGCAAGACAACCTGAGTTGCAATAGCAACTCTCCCCTCTTATGCTTCCCAGTTATTGGTATTCAGAAGCAAGGGAGGGAGAAATCAAAATAGCTGTATTGGATTAGGTATGTGCCATTTAGTCCAGCATCCACTTCTCACAGGGGCCAACAAGGTGCCTCAATGGAAGAAAGTGTGCAAGCAGGACCCAAGCACAACAGCACTCTCCCCTTCTGTAGCTTCCAGCAACTGGTATACAGAAACATTGCTGCCTCTAACATTTGAACATGCCCATTATGGGTAGTAGCAGCAATGCTCCTTCCATGGCTGTGTGTACAGTGGACACTCGGGTTGCGGACGTGATCTGTGCAGGATGCACGTTCGCAACCCGCAGCTGTGCGTCTGCGCACGCGCGGGTTGCAATTCAGCGCTTCTGCGCATGTGCGACCGCTGAAACGCGGAAGTAACCTATTCTGGTACTTCCAGGTTTCGGCAGTCCATAACCCAAAAAAACGCAACCTGAAGCGTCTGTAACCCGAGGTATGACTGTATTCCTTGTATACCGTTTTGAAATCTGAAGAGTGCCAACCTGACTGTTTGACAAGAGTGATTTTTCTACCACTTCTTAAAGCCAGTTCTCAGTAGCTGCCTGTCTGCAGGTATCTCCTACTTCAGCTAACTTTCTGACTTTTCGAGTTCTCGGATGAAGCTGCTCTTGTCATGATTTGTGATTTTTCTGCTCCTGTCTCGTTGCCTCACTGTTTTGGCATTTCTTCAGCCTTGTTCATTAATTTCTCCAGGCTGGCGTTGTTGACACAAACTAGCCCCCAATCTAGCATCTTTGCCATAGACATGAATTGCTGTGATGACCCCAGCGCTCTCTGGGAAGGTCACATCTATGACTCTCCTCCCAGAGGGGAAACTTGTTAAATTTCTGCCAATGACTTCATCTTGCCTTTAGAAAATGGCAGGTCAGGAGATGGAATTGCGTGTTAAGAGCCACTGATAAACCTTCAGTCACTCTGTTGTGTCTTAAGTTCAAACACCCTTAGGGCACATGCCCTGAAACCACTTCATGTGGATCAGTTACTTCTTAATATCACTTAGCCACCCTGTTATGTTCCTGGGTACTTCTGCTGATGAACTCTTTAGCCCAGCTGAAAGTTTTGCTTTCTTGCCATTTGCTGAAAGTGGAATGAAAACCCCACTACTTCATTATCCAGGACTGATGATCTAGTTCTGAACTTTTAAGAAATCAACCTTTTAGTTTGGCAGCACCCATGGTTTGGAACTCCCTGCCTATTAACATCAGGCATGCACCTTTGCTGTACATTTTTCTGTACCTGCTAAAAACGTATTTGTTCTAACAATCCTGTCCAGACATGTAGAAGCTGATGTGTTTAAATCTAGTTTTAACTTAAACTGTTGGTTTTAATAGTATTTTGATTTTTTTAACATTCATGTTTTCAATTTTTTATGATCATTTTAATGTTTGTTTGCAAACCACATAGAAGTTCTACCTACAATCAAGTGGCACATATTTTGGAAGGGCTCAGAGGTTGAGCACGCGCTTTGCATGGAGAATTCCCAATGCAATTTTCCAGGTAAGGTTGGGAGTGTCATCTGCCTGAAACCCTGGAGATGGTTTGGGGAGAGTCAGTGTAGACAATACTGGGGTAGATGGACCAATGTTTTGACTCGATATGAGGCATCACTTCCTATGTTTTTTATTTCAATCAGCTCCTTATTCAGAACCATGGGGATTAGGACCTTAATTCTAGGGAAGGGCTGTACCTCAAGGACAGAACCATGTTCAATCTCCAGGTACAGCTGTTGGTAAAATAGAGCCAGATGAATCAGTTGTCTGAATCCAAGTCTCCAAGGCTGGGCTCTTCTTTCTGGGAAACCACATTTCTCCCCTGAGCTCAAAATGCAAGACAGCCATGGGCAAAATGAGGGTATGGTCTTGCTTATAAGAGTGTTGTGGGTTCCTAATGAACTGTGAGAGTCTTTCTCCATGCACAGCTCTGCCCCCACCTTCTCGGCTATCTGCTTGTCACACCAAGCCGCAATGAAATCTAGAAACTAATTTTATGCCTAGAGATAAACAAACAGAACATCTAACCATGCTGGCATACAGACCATCAAGTTTAGTACACAAACGCTGCTTTTTATGTGTGCTCCATTAATAATAAAGTCGGCATTATCGCAATATTTTGCATTTACTCTTGTATAGATTTATTTCCCATCTGCTCCTCTCCAGAAATGAGTTTATTTTACATCAGCGTGATAATGCCAGGGAAGGTTTGTTTTATGTATATTATTTCAGAACCCCAAAACATAGAACCAAGTACAGTGATAGCAAATGCCGTTTGTTCTTCGTTAAGTCCTACCTACTAAAAAAAATAAAAATCGAAATCTCATTCCATCTGTGTCTTCCCCAAAATGTTATTGTTGAATCCAACTAAGTTCTAGTTAGAGTAGACCCAGTGAAATTAATTACAGTGGAATCCAACTCCCTTCAGCCCCAGCCAACATAGCCAACAATCCAGGTTGATGGAAGTTGTTGGCAACATTCATTCACAGCACACATTTAAAGCATTATGATACCACTTGAGACAGCTGTGCCTTCTCCAAATAATTCTGGGAGCTATAGTTCATTAAGGGTGCTGAGAGTTGTTAGGAGACTCCCTTTTCCCCTCACAGAGCTACAATTTCTAGGGTAGTTTAACAATCTGTGAGGGAGATAGGGGGTTTCCAAACAACTCAGCACTCTTAATGAACTACAGCTCCCAGAATTCCTTGGGGGAAGCCATGACAGTTTAAAGTGCCATCACTGCACTTTAAATGTATGGCATGAATGTGGCTGTCATCTAGCAACAACTGGAAAGGCACAGCATCCTGGTCCCAGCCACAGGGTGCTGAAAGTCTGGAAGCTGAGCTGCTATCCCATTTCCAGCTTAAACCAAAACTGTGCTGATCAGATGCTGTTAAATTGTCCATATCTGAAAGCACCCTCAGCATTTGCCCTGGCACTGACTGGCCCTGTGCTCTTGCTGCAGTGAGGCCCACGGTGCCTCCATGCCCAGAAGGCCCTGCCCATCAACCCACAAAGGATGCCAGCTTCTCTTGTCTCCTCTGTAAGCTCCCAGAATTTGTTCCCCATCATTGCCTCTCTGCTTCAACCTTGACGGAAGGTCACATGCTTTGACCAGCTAAGCCAAGGGGTCTATTACTCAAACCAATGCGTCAAAGAGACTTAAACAGGCAACAGACCCTTACCGTCCACCCGCCGCCATCCGTCGTCATGTCACAGTAAACCTGGAAGCCTTCAGGGTAGTGAGTGGGGAAGACAGAAAAAACACCGTCCTCTTGTTGTCCGCTTGCATAGATGTCAAAGCAGTCCCGAGGCCGAGAGCCTGCAGTGAAGTGTGGGGCAGAATTGAGTTGGGGGGAAGAGAAACAAGAGAGGTCTAATTAATAGACTAAATTACAACATCACTGTTTGAGCCCTTGGCTCTGGACTCTCGCCTATTCCAACTGGTTGCTGTCACTAAAAGAGACTTTGTTCTGTTTTCCTTCTAAGCTCTGGGCAAGTGGAGTTCTGGCAGAACTCTTGTTTCATAGAATCATAAAATTATAGAGTTGGAAGGGACCCAAACGGCCATCTAGTTCAACCCCCTGCAATACAGTTTCTCTCTCTCTGATTTTTAGGGGGTTGATTCGTGCAGAAACAAAGCAGTATGCTACATCTGGGACTGTGTGTTTTTTTGCTCAGAAGAATCATAGCTGAGTGGTAGAGCATCTGCCTTGCGTGCAATTGTTCCCAGATTCAACCCCTGATGTCTCCAGATAGGGCTGGGAAAGACCCCCTGCCTGAAACAGTAGAGAGCTGCTGCCAGTCAGTGTGTAGAGACAATACTGAGCCACATGGATCAATGAGCTGACTCACTATAAGGCAGCTCCCTATGTTCCTACAAAAAATGCAAAATGCAGTTCTATCTTACCACTGAGCGCTCACTTGTGCATTTGGGGCTGAATACCCACAATTCCTGTTATGTAGTGTAGTTTCACTCTGGGCCAACAGGGGGATACTGTATATAGTTTTCACTCAGGTCTGTAGATAGTTTTCACTCAGGTCCGCGCCAGTTATTTTAGGCGGGAACTCTGGGCTGTTGTGGTTACAATGTTGACAGCCGGCTGCCTATAAATACAGGCCGGCTGAGCTGTTCGCAGTCAGTTGTATTCCAGCTTACCATAATAAAGAGCTACTTGAAGAAATCGCTGTGCCGGCTGCTATGTCAACCCACGACTTAACACTGGCGACGAGGATGGGATGGATGGACATCAGAGCACAGCCAGATGCGGCCAGCCTCTGAACTGAGCTGAATCACTGAGCTGAATCACAGAGCGAAATCACTGAGCGAAATCACTGGGCAGAACCAATTCAGAGCTGACTGTTCTGGCTAGAGCACTGTGTTCCATCCATCGCCCTTCACGCCGGCATCGGAATCATGGCTTCACTTGTGCCTCTACCGCCGTTTGCGCCAGCCTCTGAATCGTGGGACTCCTACCTCGCTCGGTTCGACTGCTACCTCCAAGCCAACGAGCTGACAGCAGTATCAAAGGATCGGAAGCGGGGCCTATTCCTCAGCCTCTGTGGGCCTGAGGTGTTTGAGACGGCCCGAGCGTTGGTTGCGCCTGAAGCAGTCCAGGCAACACCATGGGACACGATCCAAGAGAAGCTCCGCAACCACTACGCACCTAAGCCGTCCAAGATTGCTGCCCGCCATGCGTTCTACCACCGGAACCAGGCAGAGGGGGAGTCAATCAACAACTACACCACCGCCCTGCGACAGGCTGCAATGCACTGTGAGTTCCGAGACTTAGACGATGCCCTGATGGATCGAATCGTCTGCGGGGTCCGGGACATCCATCTGCAACGGCGCCTCCTAGCCAAGCCAGACCTCACGCTACAGAAAGCCATTGAGGAGGCTGTGGCCTCAGAAGCTGCTGAACGCTCCGCCCAGGAGATCCGCAAGTCCAGCAGCCCGCGTCTTGCTAGGGAGCCAGTTCCGGTGCATCATGAAGAGGCCAGCAGTGATGAGGCATCCTCCAGTGAAGACGATGACGTGCACCAGACAAAGCGGGAGCGCAGGAAGTTCCAACAGAAGTCCAAGGGCCAACCGGAATGTGCTGGCTGCGGAGGCAACCATTCCCGTGCCAAGTGTCGATTCAGAGACGCCATCTGTAGGAAGTGTTCCAGAAGGGGCCACATCGCTAAGGTCTGCCGATCGGCTCCGTCTGACACCCCCCCTTCATCGACTCGCAAGTCCAAGTCTTCACTCCAGTCTGCCAAGGAAAGTTGTTTCGCTCTCACCAACTGCCGCTGCCCGTCTGGAACCACGATTGGTCAAACCGACTCGCCTACGCGACGCAAGCTGAACGTCACGGTGCTCATTGAAGGAGCTCCATGTGACATGGAGATCGACACCGGGTCTGCCCTGTCCATCGTGTCATGGAGCACCATCAAAAGACTGGTACCCAGAGTGTCCAAAAGGCAACTCGACTCTCACCGCATACACCTGAGAGACTACCAGGGAAACGACATTCCCGTGGTAGGCGTTGGCCGGTTCCGGATCGCCTTCAAGGATTTTTCGGGCCTGCTCCGGTTGGTGGTGGTCGAAGGTCAGCGGCCAAGCCTCCTAGGGCTAGACTGGTTTGATGCCCTCGGCCTGGAAGTCACCGGCATCAACTGCATCTCTAACGCAGAGACTGAGGGTCTGGTCAAAGACTTTGCCGAGGTTTTTGACGGCACCTTGGGCCAATATACAGGTACGCCCATCTCCTTTAGCCTTGATCCACAAGTCGCCCCCATCAAGCTAAAGCCACGCCGGGTTCCCTTTGCTCTCAAGGCTAAGGTGGACGAACAACTGGACAAACTGATCGCCCAAGGAGTTTTGGAGCCGGTTGACCATGCAAAGTGGGAAACCCCCATCGTCACGCCTGTCAAGCCAGATGGGTCGGTGAGAATCTGCGCTGACTACAAGTGCACGATCAACAAGGCACTTCAGCAGCACGCTTATCCGGTTCCTGTTGTCCAACACCTGCTGCATTCCCTGGGTGAGGGTAAGGTCTTCGCTAAGCTGGACCTTGCCCAAGCCTATCAACAACTGCCAGTCGATGATGCCACTGCTGAAGCCCAGACGATCGTCACCCACCGGGGGGCATTCCGTTGCCGCCGGTTGCAGTTCGGGGTGAGTGTGGCTCCTGGCATCTTCCAAAGCCTTATGGAGCGTCTCCTGCAAGGGCTTCCGGGCGTGGTACCATATTTTGATGACGTCTTGGTGTCTGCAGACTCACACCAGCAGCTGTTCGAGCGCCTCCGTGCCGTGCTGACCAGGTTCCAGGAGGCCGGGCTCAAGGTAAAGAGGGAGAAGTGCCAGATCGCCGTTCCACAGGTAGAGTTCCTGGGCTATCTTATCGATGCCTCCGGTCTTCATCCAACCACATCCAAGATCCGCGCTATCCAGCAGGCCCCCACTCCAAAGAACAAAACGGAGTTGCAGGCGTTCCTGGGGCTGCTGAACTTTTATAACATGTTCCTGCCCCACAAAGCCACAGTGGCTGAGCCTCTTCACCGACTCCTTAGCACTAAGACGCCTTGGGCCTGGGGTCATCGGGAGACGGCGGCCTTCAACGCGGTCAAGGCTCTCCTTTCTTCAGACAGTGTGCTGGTACAGTACAGTGAATCCAGGCCGATGGTCCTTGCCTGCGACGCCTCACCTTTTGGCATCGGTGCTGTCCTTAGTCACCGTTTTCCAGATGGAAGAGAAGCACCGCTCGCCTACTTTTCCAGGACACTATCTCCGACGGAACGGAATTACAGCCAGCTCGACAAGGAGGCATTGGCACTTGTGGCTGGAGTGAAGAGGTTCCATGAATACCTCTATGGCAGGACTTTTGACCTCATCACTGACCACAAGCCACTCCTGGGCCTCCTCGCCGGTGATCGTCCAACTCCACTGGTCCTCTCACCACGCATGCTGCGATGGACTGTTTTCCTGGCTGCCTACCACTACCGGCTCATCCACCGCCCGGGGAAATCGATGGGCCATGCCGACGCCCTCAGCCGTTGCCCTCTTCCAGCATTTGTGGAAGACCCGGCTCCAGCTTCATCGCTCCTTCTGATTGAGGATCTTCCGGCAGCGCCTGTATCGGCTGCCACTGTGGCCTCCGCATCTGCCCAGGATCGCACCATCAGCCGGGTGCTCAACTGGGTGTGGAGGGGGTGGCCACAAGGGCCCTTTGCATCGGAGTTCCAGCCCTTCGCAACCAGACAACATGAACTCTCAGCTCATCGCGGCTGTCTGCTGTGGGGAGACCGCGTCGTGATTCCCCAGGGACTCCGTCAGCGCGTCCTGGAGGCTCTGCACGTTGGCCACCCGGGAATTGTCAAAATGAAGGCGTTGGCTCGGTGTTACGTCTGGTGGCCTAATATGGACGATGCCATCACTGCCTGGGTGTCCGCCTGTCAAGCGTGCCAGGAGTCGAGGCCTGCACCACCGGCAGCTAAGGGACACACCTGGGAGACGCCAAAGACACCCTGGTCGAGGGTGCACATCGATCTGGCTGGCCCCTTTCACGGCCGGACCTTTATGGTAGTGGTGGACGCCTATTCCAAATGGCTGGAGGTCGCCCTGATGCCCTCCACCACTACCGAAGCTGTCATCCGGGTGCTGCGAGGCCTGTTTGCAACGCATGGGTGTCCTGATGTCCTTGTCTCTGACAACGGACCGCAGTTCACGTCAGGCACGTTTGAGCGGTATCTTTTGGGACTGGGCATCCGCCATGCCCTAACGGCACCCTTTCATCCATCCAGCAACGGGCAAGCGGAAAGAATGGTGCGCTCGACAAAAGAGGCACTGGCGCGCCTGGACCGGGGAGACTGGCATGAGCGGGTCGCCGAATACTTGTTCGCGCAACACATCACCCCTCATGCGGCCACAGGGAGGAGTCCTGCGGAACTGCTTATGGGCCGCCGCCTCAGGTCACCGCTCGACCGGCTACACCCAGACTTTGCCGTGGCTGAACCCCCAGGCTGTGCCAACGCACCACGGTCATTCGTCCCGGGAAACCAGGTCTTTGCCCGGAACTATGTGGGGGACATCCCTTGGGTGCCAGCCACAGTAGTGGGAGTCACTGGACCTCGCTCGTACCAGGTGGCACTCGAAGACGGACGCTTGTGGCGACGGCACATAGACCAGCTTAGGCGCAGAGTTGGGGACTTGGACACTACCGAGGTGCCCCCAACTGCGCTTGCGGCTCCAGAAGAGACACGTACAGATGGCGAGGCCCCACCTACACCTCCCTCGCAAACTGCCAGCGTGGAGCCGAACCAAGCCGTTTCAGAACAGACTCAGACCACTCCACTTGCGGAGGCTCCACTCTCAGCAGCGGATCCAGGGGAGTTGGTTCCAACGCCACCTAGGGTCGCACCACAGCCTCAGCGAGAACTGTGTGGCCCTCCGGACTTGGCTACCAGTCCCCGGCGGTCTGGCAGAGTTTCCAAGCGCCCAACTCATTTAAAGGACTATGTTGTTGGACAGGTATCACTGTTGGTCTAAGTATGGGAAATGTAACCGATATGCTTTTGTGCCTAATTGAACCATTACGCGTAGTGCTGTATATAAGGAAACCATTACGATTGTAACTAACGCCTTATCTCGGTGGGGAGGGGTGTTATGTAGTGTAGTTTCACTCTGGGCCAACAGGGGGATACTGTATATAGTTTTCACTCAGGTCTGTAGATAGTTTTCACTCAGGTCCGCGCCAGTTATTTTAGGCGGGAACTCTGGGCTGTTGTGGTTACAATGTTGACAGCCGGCTGCCTATAAATACAGGCCGGCTGAGCTGTTCGCAGTCAGTTGTATTCCAGCTTACCATAATAAAGAGCTACTTGAAGAAATCGCTGTGCCGGCTGCTATGTCAACCCACGACTTAACAATTCCCTGTGAAGAGGGACTGATTGCTAAACCAGTCTGGGAATTTTAGCTCTGTGAAAGCAATTGGGGGTCACCTAAAAACTCTCAGTTCCCAGGATTCCTTGGGGGAAGATATGGCTGTTTAAAGCGGCATGAAACTGTTTTAAATGTGAAGTGCAGATGGGGCCCAGCATACATATTTTACATTCTCTAACTTCCTATTTGTGGTTGGTGGAGTAAATAAATTATATTCATAATTGACCCAAGAAGGAGAAGAGAAGGAAGCAGATCTCCTACCGTTGGAGCATCCTTTTGGCCGGGCACTCCGAGCTGGAGCCTTCTGGAGGTCAGCTTTGAGCCGAGGACGGACCGCACTGCGGTCCTTCTGCAAGGTGTCCAGGATGTCGCTGACAGAACTCACTAGTCTCGCCATGTTGGTCTGGCTCTCTGAGAGCAGCTGTGTGAAAAAGGTCCAAATTCGTTATGACTCAGTTCAGGGGGTTTGCCAACACACCATCCGCAGGCACCAACCTGTCCACTACTAGCTTTAGGACAGCCTGCGAAAGGTCTCAACCAGGGCCAGCCCCAAGATATTATATTATTTTCTTTTATTTCATAAAATTTATACACCACTTGATTGTAAAAAAACCACAAAACTTCTAAGTTTTGAACAATAGAACAGTAAAATCAATAAAAAAAACTACAACCCTATTTTAAAACATGAAAAAGTTAAACTACTAAAATAGATTCAAATTACTTCAAGTATCTGGGTAGGCTTGTCAAAACAGGAATGTTTTTAGCAGGTGATGAGAAGAGTACAGTGAAGGTGCCTTCTTGATCTCAATAGGCAGGGAGTTCCAAAGTGCAGGTGCTGCCACACTAAGTGATCAAGTTCTTACAAATGCAGAATAGTTATTATGTGGCACTTGCAGTAGTGCCAATTTTGCTGCATGAGGCAAGCCAGACAATGGTACCATCACCACCCTGTCCATGCATCCTGACTAGGTGATATCCCCTATGATCTTAGACACAACCTCTGAATAATGTCTTTTTTTGCTTGGTGCTTTTAAAAGCACTGCTACAGAGTTCAATGGGACTTATGAATGCTTTCCTAGCTGCAAGCCTTACTGAGTTCAAAGGGATTTGCAGCCTACTAAGCGAGGCTTTGCTCTGTTCTACAGCTCCCTCCTCTAAACTGTCCCTTCAACTTCCTGCCCCCATACTCAAGTACTTTCCTTCCCTTAGCGGCTGTTCCTTCCAGCCTCTACAATTCTATGATGCTCTGATTCTAATACTGATTTCCATTCTGCCCTGTATTTGTTCCACACAGGACCATTTCGATTCTGCCACAGTTCATCTTCCACCCAAAACCACATTATTAATCTCAGTTGTCCACTGAGGCAAAATTATATAACTTACATAACTTATGTAAATGAGATTCCTCTTCCATTATGGCACCCCATTCATTTCAGTCATTTATGAACTGAAAACAATAACAACAGTGAATACCGATTCTACTCAGTGGATTGATTTCTCCTCTGGACATGGTGGTGAATAAGCCAGCATCTGCAATTCCCAGCCCCATTTCCAGTTTTGCCAGAATCTTCCGACATCCCTAATGGCTCCTTCCTTCCTTCCTTCCTTCCTTCCTTCCTTCCTTCCTTCCTTCTCTCTTTCTCTCCCCCCCCCAAACAGTCTGCCTTTATTAAATTTATATAAGAGAGTTTACATTCAAAAATTAAAGCACAAGATGCTTTTCATTTACGTTGAGAAGGGAAATGTGTCAAGGGAACTGCATTGCATCTTTGCTTTTTATGATATGGAAGAAATACAGATTTAATAACTAATGATTTCTCATCGCCCGTTGGTTTGTCTGGGAGCTAAAGTTGCTGAGCTAATAGGAAAGGTTGCAGATTTTTGCTCTGGCCATTTCTAAAATTAGACTAAGGCATCCACAGTGACCGAAAGCAATCTTGTCATTTCTGTCAAAGTATCAATTGGGTTTTATTTTATTCTAACTCCTCCTCTTCTTCTTCTTCTTCTTCTTCTTCTTCTTCTTCTTCTTCTTCTTCTTCTTCTTCTTCTTTTGTATACAGCACTTTTGGGTATTAATGGTGGTTCATTACATTAGTCCCAATGCTAAGATTTTTTTAATGTAGTGTTCATTTTAGAGTTCAAAACCGTAAGTGGTATATCCCTACAGACTCTCCTGGGTGTTAAGATCAGCAGAGGAAAGACATTTTCGTAGTTTCACCTTCCTTAGAAGTTTAGGGTAGTGGCAGGCCTGGAAGAGGACATTCCATTGTGGAAGTCCTTAAGTTGTGAAGTTTCCTCTCTACAGAAGTGGCTCTGGCTTCTTCACTATACAACTTCTGGCAAATGCTGCAGTCGCACCTCTTTACCCTGACCTATTCCTGAGACTGTAATCTGTTTTTAATCATTTTTAATTCTAAATTGCTGTAACTTGCCCTGAGACCCTGCTGGTAAAGGGTAATACATTTAATGCTAATAATAGTGTGCTGGGGTGTGTGTGTGGAATTTTTTTTTATATACATATTGCATTGCTCATTATTGTTTTAGACAAGCCTACCCAGATACGTAGAATGTTTACATGTGTCTTAATACGTTTTTAGCTAAGTTCTGTTTTTAATTATTATTTGAATGTTTACATAGCAGTTTAAGCTGCTTTTATTGTTTTATTCTTTTTGTAAAGCATTCTGAAGGTAGGTTTTTTAAATAAAACAATGCCGTGGTAAATGAATCATATGGGGAAGAAAACATTATCATTATCATTATTGTTATTCCTATGTTAATATCCCAACTTTCCTTCAAGAAGCTCAAGGTAGCATATACAGTTCCTCCCTTTTCCTATTTTATCCTCACAACAACTCTGTGAGGTAGGTTAAGCTGAAATACAGTAATTGGCCCAAGATCATCCACTGAGCTTCTTGGCTGACTGGGGATTTGCACCCTGGTCTCCCAGGTCCTAGCCCAACACTACAGCATACTGGTTCTCAATATCAGGAGTTTGCAACGTAATAGTATGAAATAATTTCGCCCTCCTTTCACAGTGGACCTAGTAATGTATATGGAAACATTTTAAACAAATGTTATCTGGGCCCCTATTGTGGAAGCTTTATCTTATTGAGCTGCAAATTGATTGCATTTCTCTGCCAAAACATCTAGAGTTTTATGTTGCATTCTGCTGTGTTTGTTGATGCTTTTAATGATCATGTATTTTATTCCCTTTGCCCTGTAGACTTGCCCAGGGAACATTGTTGATGGGCAGAAATGTAAATCTTGTCATTAAACAACAAAAACGTGATTGAAAATTGGGCTGCTATAGGTGATCAACTCTACAAAGCTGACTTCAGCTGCAGTGCATGGGGTAGCAGGCTGTGCACTGCGTAATGGCTTATTGCTTGTACATATGCATGTGTGTTTGCACATACACTAGAGGCAAGGAGCATTTGCCCATTACTCTTCCTTAAGGGTGGGGAGCTTTTTCTGACTGGTGATTCAGATCTCTATCACCCCCAACCCTGGAGAGCCCAACTGCTATCAGGTGATACTGAGCTTTGATGCCCCAACTGCCAGGACTTCAAAGCATGGTGAGGAACTGTTTGAAAGTCCTTTTGCAAACAGCCCCACACTGCTATTCAAACTTCTGAAAATCAGGGGTCTAAAGAGCTGTTTGCAAAATGGCTTTCAAACAGCCCTACACTGTGCTTTGACTATATGAGCCTTCTCCTAGCATGGGAACAGGTAAACTGAGCAGAATTGAAACTTCTGCTCACCAGGTTCAGTCCTTGTGGATGCAGGGGTCTCCTTTGCCAAGGGAATATATTAGTGAAGCAGACCCCAGCAGGATTGAACCTAATTCTCCCACCCATCAGTGATGTCAGAGGATTGACAGGTGGGCCATGGATTGGGAGAAATGACTTTGTGGGCCAACTTGAACTCCCAGGCAGGGAGGCTAGAGGCTTCCCACCCTAGCAGTACTTGAAGATATGACTTCTGGAGACCTAGGGGAGGCTGCTGAGCTCCACATAAGGACAACTGTAGCAACTCAAACTAAAAAATGTTAACAAGGCATACCCAAAACACCAAAGCCAGGCCCAGAAAATAAAAGTAATGGACATATCATGGCATGGACTAAGAACTTAGAAACTGAGATATCAGAGGAGTAATAAGACTTGCTTTGTTGTTCTTCCCATGTAGGACACTTTGCCTGGGATCCTGCGTTGTCTGAGGAAACTACTGCTGTCTTCAGACTCTGATGACTGGACCTTGTAGTGACCAGGGATTTCCCTCCAACCAGGTCATCACTATTCTGACCTTCACCCGCTAGGAGCCAGAAACTGTGGCATGAGACTTATGTCCTTTAAGGTGTGTGTGTGTGTGTGTGTGTGTGTGTGTGTGTGTGTGTGTGTAGTTTCCCAAAGGACTATATAACCCTGGTGTTTGCTCCAGGCTGCTACTGAGGTAATTTGTCTCTTACATTAGCTGCAGGTTTGCTTTCCATTGTGCTGAAATCATTCCACTGTGGTTTTGCATACTGGCAGAACTACCCAAGGTTCCGAACCTTCCCTGCACCAGAACAGCACCAGCAAATCACCTTACCCCTGTGCCCTCCTGACCAAGTTGTTGCTTTCCTGGGATGACTAATCATTGGTAAACAAGAACAGCACATGGAAAATATTAAATAGCAATTAACACTTAGATGCACCCAGGGAACCTTTTCGTCTTGGGGGGTCAGAAGTTTATCTGCCACTGGCCCCCCATGGGCCAAGTTTAACAGACGGGCAGGGCAGCCTACCTGTCAGTCACCATCAAAGAGTGAACCAGCAAAGCAGTGCCCAGCAGGATCGTACACTTTATTCATAAGCTGATGAGCAGAAAGTTAGGTTCTGCTGGCTGTGGGGGTCAGCTGATGGGCAGTTGGATGTGCTTAGGGGGGAAATGGCCTTGCAGACCCCTTGCAGAGCCAAGATTGGCCCACTGGCCACAGATTCCCTACCCATGGACTAAGGTGGTGCCATTTCATTGTTAGTGTACTGCCAAAGCTTCCTGTGGCTGTGGGGGGGGGGATATGTGTATTGCATGGGGGCTCACAATACTCACAACAGCATTAAAAACAACATTGCAATCGCTATACATAGTATCAAACACGGTAGCATATAATTAAAGCAAACAATAACTAATTCATCAAAGTAATTGAAACAATTCAGTGAGGCTTGCTGAACTCTTGAGTTCAAAAAATAAGAATCCCTTGGCAGAAGTGATGGGTGGTTTTTAAAAGCAGATTTTCCAACATCACAATTTTCCATTAAACACCCTACACAGGGGTGGAGGGGAGGTGGGGGTGAAAATGCGAACAGCTTTTCTCCTTGCTCGCACCTTTTATCAGACTTCTCCATAAGAGTCAGCAGTTCTTATCTAATATACAGTGATGATTCATTGAGGAATTGCCTTACTTCAGCAAGAAACAGGTGCAAAACCAGGAGGGTTTATAAAGGTTTTTACAAGGATGTGATGATGATGTCTTACCTAACTGACGATGAAGGCGAAGAGGAGGATTTAGAACTACAGGAAGCTGGTTCACACTGAATCAGGCCATTGGTCTATCAAACTCAGTACTGTCCACGCTGACTAGCAGTGGCTCTCCAGGGCTTTTGGCAGAGAGTCTCTCCCTGACCTACCTGGCAATACCATTGGGGATTGAAACTGGGGCCTTCTGCATGCAAAGCAGGTGCTCTACCACTGCGCCTTCACTCCTAGGAATATAGGAAGCTGCCTACTTAGTCCATGTTGGGGCATTTAGCTCAATATTGTCCACACTGACTGCAGTGGCTCTCCAGGATTCCAGACAGGTGTCCTTCTGGACCTACCTGGAGATGTTGGGGACTGAAGGGACCTCTTGCGTGCAAAGCATGTGCTTTTCCTGAACATAAGAAGAGCCCTGCAGGATCAGGCCAACAACCCACCTAGTCCAGCATCCTGTTCTTCCTCAGTGGCCAACCAGATGCCAACTATAGGAAACCTAAACACAAAAGCACCCTTCTTTCCTGCAGTTTCCAGCAATTAGTATTCAGAAGCATTAATGGCTTCCAAATATGGAGGTAGATCACAGACACGTTCTGTTGCCCTAGCCCAGTCTCAAGGTTTATGGGACTGAACCCCTTCCCCCTGCCCAGACAATTAAACCTCACTTGAATGCAGAGTTGAAATGGTCAGCCATTTTGTTTCCAGGTGATGCACTTTCCCTTTCACTACAGGGATGTAATGGCTGTTCTTTCCACCACCCCCTCTAACCTTGCCTTAGGCATCAGCACTGAATTTGCAGAAGCCTCCTTTGATGACTTCAATCAAAATGCAACAGAGTTCACTGAGGTAAGCCAACATCCTCAGGGCTCACCAGCATTTAGCTACCTGTCTGGCAAATGAGCTCTCAAACGCTACGTGCAAAACATGCACAGACTCCCCTCCCCTGCCTTCTGTAACCTTCCCAGTTTTCCTCCTATGAAAAGCTGTGGCTGCAACTCTCCCCCCACCCTAATTAATTAATTAATTAGATTTTTATACCACCCTCTATCCATAGATCTCAGGGCAGTTCTGTGGCATCCCAGACCAGTGTTGCGGTTGTAAATTTGGAAGTGCATAAACTCATTGTGAGAGCCCCTATACAGCCACATCACCAAGGAAAATCTATCAGGGGCAAAGGGCCACATTCCCTTTGGGGGCAACCTTCTGGGGGCCACATGCCTGTGGTGGGTGGGGTCAGAGCCAAAAGTGGGCTGAGCAATTTTAGCCGGTAGTCTAGTTTCTACCCTAACAATTATCTCTATATGTTTTTGGCTTTTTGTATTTAATCAGTGGTGTTTTAACTTGTATAAGCTGCCTTGAGTCTTGGTCTCGGAAAAAGGTGGGATATAAGTAAATATTGTTGCATGCCACCCCAATCTCTGAGCGGTGCGAGATTCCAGGGGTTCCAGGCACTTACCCAGGGTCCGGTGTCCTCGGAATGAGGGACAGCAGAGACGGTGGTGTCACAGAATCACAGAATCGTAGAGTTGGAAGGGACCACGAGGATCATCTAGTCCCACCACCTGTAATTCAGGAATCTTTTTGCCCAAACATGGGACTCGAACCCACAACCCTGAGATTAAGAGTCTAATGCTCTACCAACTGAGCCATCCCAGGTTGACAATGTGTCATATGGTTTATTTACATCTATATACTGTACAACCTGAGCCTGTGATGGAGGGGCTCACAGCATTAACACCCCCAATAGGGTCTTGCTTCTCCCATGGCCTCAGCACTAGATTCAAGCAGAGACCAGGCATAGCTCTTTCTCTCATCTGCCCAGCCTGCCTCCAGCTTCTAGCTTCTAGCTCACACAACTCTGGCCTTTGTCTTTCTAAGTGCCAGACAGTTTCTAACTACCCTGCCCATTTGTCTTCTGGCACAGAGCCACCAAGAGTCACCATAAAACTTGCCTGGCTACTCCAGCAATTGAAACCTTATTGTATCCAGGAATTAGAAGGGACTGTATACAGGTACACAGCCTACCTCCCCAATTCACAACACTATAATAAATGCAACCACCACCACAACAACACATCCTTATCTATCCTTCATCCAGACAAGTAGGAGTCTTGAGCAAAGTTCACGGACACATCCCAGGCAGGCAGAAACCCTCAAGAAGGATGCAAAGCAGGTAATGGCTGTGGTCCTGGGAAAAGTTCTGAGAGCTAGGCAGTTAGTTAGAGAGCTATAGGGCAGCATCCAGCCTCCAATCCTGAGGGTCCCCATCCTAGTCACAGCTCTGAGAAGAGTTCAGAAATGCAGACCACTGTGTGATCCATTATAGCCGGTGTGATACAGTGGCCAGAGTGTCCTACTAGGACCTGGGAAACCAGGGTTCAAATTTGCGCTCCCCCACGAAGCTTGCTGGGTGACTTTGGGCCAGTCCCCCGCCTCTCAGTTTAAAATACCCCATAGGGTTGTCATGAGGCTGAGAACTATGTAAGTCAACTTGAGCTCCTTGGAGAAAAAGGTGGGATACAATAAAGAGATTATAAGTAAATGCTTATACATGCATGTATCAAAAAGGAGCAGCACACAGAATGAACAAGTCCTTTGCATCGGGAGTAAGCGCCATTGAACTCAGCGGCTGGTTCCATGGGGACTGGTGGAGAAGAATGCAGGGAGCCCAACAGTAGGTGGTTCCTGTGCCAATGACAGGTAGAGCCACACCCTGATTGGTTGTATGCATGAAGATGGTCAGGTAGGGGGTGGCCAAGGGCAGACTAAGGTTGGTGGGGCAGCAACCTCTATATGGCCTAACCTCCAGCACTTGCAACCATAACTGTTTTTATAGAGGCTATGGAATGCTCCTTCCTGCCTTCTTCCGTTCTTTCTGTAAGAAAAACACACTTCCTGAAAACCCGTTAAGAGAGTTAGCGTCCTGGAAACCAGGCAGCCTGGGTAAGTAATGGTGTATATTCAGAAGGAGATAGAAAATGTTTTGACATCTGTTTCTAAAATAATAATTAAAAAACCAAAAGTTTGCACTGCACCTAACTGCAACAGAACTTAACATTTTCCATATAATTTGATTTTGGTTTTTTACACGGATGGAAGTGACTTAAATAAAATATTTTAAAACCCTCCAATCTAGAGGGCAGTCTGCAGTTCACAAAAATCTCTGGTCAGCTACTATTTTATTTATTTAAACTGAGATGATGTTTTTTTAAAAGAGACTCCACATTTTTAATTGATTGAGGGCCAAGGGGTCAGCAGCAATGGAACACAGGAAGCTGCCTTCTCCTGAGTCAGGCCATTGCTTCATCCAATTCAGTACTGTCAACACTGGCTGACAGTGATTCTCCAGGGTTTCAAGCAGGAGTTCTTCCAAAAACTAACCTTTCCCCTGAAATTAAAGATGCTAGACCTCTGACTATGACCCTTCAAATGGCTTTAACTTGCTCCTGGGACACAAGCCATAAGTTATTGGGGGTGAGGGGGGCACACTGCAGTTCTGCTAGCTGCCTGTCCATAACATATGAAAATCATCTCAATCTATATCGGTCCCTAACTTAAACTTTGCATGATTTGTGTGTTTACGGGGCAAGTGTTCACAGGAACTAGCCTCTTGCCCCTCCGCTCCCATCCATCACCTGTATGAGACGGCCTTGCTCATTCTGCAGAGCGTTCAGCTCCTGCCCCATGGAGCTGTGCCCTTTCTTCAGACCGTCACAGTCTGCCCTCAGCTGGGTGGCATGGCTGAGAACTTTGGACACCTCATCCGACAGGCCCACCAGCAATGCCCTCTCCTGCCCCTTTGATGACTTCGTCTCGGCATCAAGATCTGTCACAGCCCTCAGGACAGACGACTGGAGGCCCTCCAGGCGGGTGAAACCGGTGCCCTGGTCCGGGCAATTGGGGTCGATGAATATGTTGACACGAGAGCCATCAGCTTTCTCGATGGTGACCAAGGCGTTGGCTTCATCGGGATTGGTGCTGATGATGGGTGGGGATTCCGTGACGGGCGTGTGGTAGTGGTTCATGAAGAGGATGGCACCAGTGACAGTGACGGCGAGGAGAACTGCCACAGACAGGAGGACGGTGCAGAGGATATAACCGCAGCTCATTCTCTAGAAAATGGAAGCAGAGAGAAGGTTATGGCCACTTTTGTGGGCCAACATAGCAATGGCAAGGGATGGGTAGGGATGGGAAGCAAGGGGAGAGAAAGTCAGTTCATGTCAGGGACCAGAAGCTGGGTTCCTCTTCATTTTATTTATTTTTTCAACAATCTGTTGTGTTTTAATTATATGGCTACTAGCCACTGTGACTATGCTCTTCCTCCATGATTGGAGGCAGTTATGCTTCCGAATAATAGTTACTGGAAACCGCAGGAGGGGAGAGGGCTCTTGTGGTCAGGTCCTACCATTGGGCTTCCCATTCAAGCAACTGGTCAGCCACTGTTAGAAGAGGATGCTATACTAGGTGGGCCACTGGTCTGATCCCGTGGGACTTTCTAATATTCTTACTCATCCTTCATATCTTATTCACTCTCTCGCCATCCATTTACAAGCTGCAGGGACAGCCACCAACTTCAATAGCTTTTGAAATAGGCTAGACAAATTTATGGAGGTTATCAACAGCTACCATTCATGATGGCTATGTTATCTCTCCTCTGTCAGAGGCAGTATGCTGGGAATCACAAGTGCAGAGAGTTGCTGTTGCACTTAGGACTTGCTTATGGGCTTCCTCCCACAGTTGGCCTCTGTGAGAAGAGGATGTTGGGCTAGATGACCCATTGGCCTGATCCAGCAAGCTCTTCTTGTGTTCTTATATTACCATTTGATAGGGTTCTTTTTAATCTCAAATGGGTTCACAAAAAAGAATAAAACAATGCAATTTTGAGTTTGAAATAGTTAAAAACAACTGTTTAAAGCATTAAGAAAAATAAGATGATAAGCTGGCAACCACATTGAAACACATGTCAATGTTCTCTGTGCCTAAGCAGAAATGTTTTTAGGAGGCACAGTGAAGACACCTGCCAAATGTCAATTGGCAGGGAATTCCAAGGTGTAGGTGTTTCATCAGGTGATGGAGGCAAGGACTGTGAACCTGAAGGAAAAGATGGTGCAAGGCCAACTCCAGAGGCATTGCTACCAGATGAATCTGTGGGGCCAATATCCCCCCCCCAGCCAGAGGATCTGCCTTCCTCTGACTCTGACGACCCCACTGTGCAAAACCCTGGGAGATCTGAGCCTCCTTCAGATGACATCAGAGTCTCATCTCCCTCCCATGTAGGGTATGCTGCGGAAGTGTGGTAGTCTGTGGACACAGCAGGTCAAAAGCCCATTACTTTTTCTGCAGATGGGTCCCAGCAGGGTCCGTTGCCTCCAGCATCCTAGAACTGCCCCATCAGCATGAAAGGAAAGCCCCTTAGTCACTATGAAAAAGCCTCCTCTGATTGGAGACCAATCAGAGTGAAAGGAGGTAGGGCAGCCACTGAGGATGTTCTCCTAGGGTCCCTCTGGAGAAGATACACTGGAAGGACACCAAGGAGTTGCTGTTCTGTCTGCTCCAAAGCTAAGCCAGAGGCATAGTTGGGGGGGGGCAGAGGAGTGGGGCACATCATGGGGGTGGCACTTACCGTAGGCTGGGGCCTGCAGCGGGCCCAAGCCACACATCTCTCTTGGGAGTGACACAGTGGCTCAGGTGCCTGCAGGCTTGGTGTTGCCCAAAACGGCAGCGCGGGGCTTGCGTCTGCCCATCGCCTACCCCTCAGCCGCCCTACAGCTGAGGCAGAGGTGGTGGGTAGGCTCTTTGGAGGCTCTGGACAACGTGCCCTGCCCCAGCTCGCCCCACTGCTGGGCGCAGACTGCACACCGCCCTGGGTGCCTGAGCAGCTTGCTACACCACTGCTGACAGCACAGGGGGCTTCCGTTTCAATAGAATGGGGTACAAGTTCTGTTATATATGCTCAAGGAGAACACAACCTAAGTCACTCCAAAAAAGGATGCTGGGGCATTCCAAATCATTTGACCATGTATGTGAACAGACAATAGTATATCTAGCTGAAGGGCAACACAGATAGATTGGCATTGAGTGTTGCAGTGCACCCTTAATTAGAATTATTGCATGATTATAAGTTTATTGTGTAATCTTAAAAGGGGTGTATCTGTGAGGGGCCATGGCTGTGACCCCGTGAAAGGACCCTGTGCCTCTGAACTGGCCACTACACCACCGGTTAGCTGCAATGCTCCACGACCCCCAAGCCCACTGATATCCCCCAGGATATCTCAACTCACTGGGATTTCAGAAAGTTTCTTCTTCGTTTAAGCAATCCTTACTCCATTGCCCAAGGGTCGTGTTGAAGGGCACTTTCAAAATAAGAATATAAGCACTTGCTGAGTGCCTTCCAAGGGTACAAAAAGTACTCAAGATATATAGCCTCAATAAACCTTCATAACAGCCGATATGTCCCCGTACTGTAGTTGCCAATGTGTGTGTGTGTGTGTGTGTGTGTGTGTGTGTTGAAGCCGGAGGAAAATAATAGGTTGTCTAAAGTAGGGTTGTCACCTTTGGATGGGCAAAAGGACAGGTCGGGGGTGGTGAAACGGGGGACGACGGCAAAAATTACTTTACCTGGTGCAGAAATGACTTCAAAGCAATCCATTACAATCCGCCGCCCCCCTACTCTCCACCAGAGCCTTGCAAAAACCCTCTCATGCTCTGTGACCCACCCTATTCACTCTGTCTGCAAAAAACTATTGCACTGGACCTGGCCCCTCTAAACCCATTCTCCGACCCACCCACCCACAGCCACCCCTGCTAGCACAAAACCTGAGACTCCACCATAGAAGGCCTGTGCACTGCAACTCCCCCCCCCCCTCACTCTCTGCAACCCACTCTCTGCCCGTGCAAAAACTCTCTCTCAAATTCCTCCTCTCAGCTCCATCCCACCCTCTGCCCATGTCCCTCAGGCTCTCACTCTCGGCTGTCCTCCTCATGGACCCACCCTTTCCTGCACAAACTCTTTGCTCGGGCTCTCGTTCTCCTCCTCCCACTGGACCAACCTTCTACCACGCAGTTGGAGGAGGAGGAGTCCAGACTGCTTGAAGTCCAAACAGGACAGGGGCCACTTTTCTCCAAAAAAAGAAAAAAAGAATGATCATGCTTTTCTAGGGACAGGTGGCATTGCAACCCTAGAGTCATCTAGAGAGCTTGTGGCCAACAGCAGATTTCAAACAAGGGCCTTCTAGCTTGTGTTTGTAGCTGTTGTGATTGACCACCTCAGTTTGCATTGGAAAGAATATTTTGAACCAAGTACAGAAGCGGGAGGTAGGTTAGGCTGAGAGACAGGAACTGTGACCCTAGGTTGCCCAGTGAGCTTCATGACTGATTTAAACTACTGTCTGACATTCACAGACCAACATTCTAACCACTATACCACACTGCTCCAGTATAATTAAGGTTATTAATTATTTAATATACCGTATTTTTCGTTCTATAAGACGCACCAGACCATAAGACGCACCTAGTTTTTGGAGGAGGAAAACAAGAAAAAATATATTCTGAATCTCAGAACCCAGAACAACAAGAGGGATAGCTGCGCAGCGAAAGCAGCAATCCCTCTTGCTGTTCTGGCTTCTGGGATAGCTGCACAGCCTGCATTCACTCCATAAGACGCACACACATTTCCCCTTACTTTTTAGGAGGGAAAAAGTGAGTCATAGAGCAAAAAATACGGTACTTATTCCATAAATTTCTACACCACTTGATTGTGTTTTCTTTTGTTGTTTAAAAACACACGCACACTCAAATCAGTTATTCTTAGCATTAATGTGGTGCTGTATCCAATGTTTCTCCTACTCAGCGTAGTAATGGGCATGACTATCGTAAATCCATTAATGTCAATAGGTCTACTCTGATGAGAACTTAGTTGGATCCATCTGTATATTATTATTATTATTATTATTATTATTATTATTATTATTATTATTATTATATTTCCTGTTATTCACCTCCCCTATCCTCAGATACCTGGCTGATCATACAGAGCGGGGGTTGTTCTCTGAAGGTGAACAGATAAATGTTCACTCCTCGGAGACATCTTTCTACCAGGCAGTTAGTTAGACAGAAGGGTGCAGTTGATATACGGCTCGCTTGGGCGCCTGCTCTATGAAATAATAACGACGGAGGGGTCACGGAACAGATGCGCTTCTGCGGTTGGATTCGTTTTTATTTAGTGCGACAATAAGCAGTCCCCGCTTCCAGCAGGGCCAAATGGCGAGACCTGGTTCCGGTCAGGAATTCCTTCCACCGTGACTCTGGAGTCACCCCAGCGCCTCGCCTACCGAAGAGGTTGACGGACCTCATGACTCTTTAATGAGTCTGGCGGTTTGCAGTGAGAAAACATCTCATTGCTGCATGAATCATGAATCTCTTTCGTTAATAAAAAAGCAAGGAGATGGGACAGGGAGAGAGGGGAGGTGAAGGCAGGGGCAGTATTTTTAGAGCAGGGAGTCTTATTTGGAAATGGCCCAGGGCACCAATTCCTTTCCAGAGCCACACTCTCCGAGGTGTGCGGTTGATTCTGCAAAGTTTGCAGCAAAAGGATGCTAGCTGGGGATAGCTCTGACCTTTGGGACCTTGTAATGTCTCATCACTAATAATAACCCCCCCCAAAAAAAAAAAAAAAAAACCAGGCTGCCTGGAGCATTTTTGCACTTCTCCCCCTAAAGTTTCCATTTTCTTTTAATAATAAATGCTACAAATGAACAGACAGATCATGCTGAAAACTCACGCAAAATCCAAAAGATCAGAGTGGTTTCTGATGCCAGTCCCCCTCAAGAGTAGACCTGCTGAAATTTATGGATCTAAATTAGCCATTTCTGATAACTTCAGTGGGTCTACTCTGAGCAGGACTAGCACTGGATGCAACTCATTATTTCCAGTGCAGTTTTGCATGTGCTCGTTCACAAGTCCATCATGTTTCTACAAAGATTTTTGTGGAAGATGCAGTTCGTGCAGAATGCTGCAGCATGACTGCTGACAGGAGTGAAGCTGTGTGAGCATATAACACTTGTGCTCAGAGATCTGCACTGGTTGCCTATCTGCTACTAGGCCAAGTTCAATG